CGGAGGACGCAAAGGAGGAAGAGGAGGAATCTAAAGAAGAAGAAAAGGAGGCAGAAGGGAGAGGATGAAGGAGAGAAGGAGGAAGATGAAGTTAACACATTCGATCAAAATACACATGATATTCCTCCAGTTACAATACTCGGCTCACTCACACGCAAGGTTGGCCGCAGGCAGAGGCCTGAGCACACACAGCAAATAATATGGATTGAGACAACTAGAGAAAAAATACAACTCCATCAAGCCCACGCCCTCGTGCAAAGGACAAACACCAATCTGTCGCGCTGACTTCAAAGAAAGCGTTTCAATCGAGCGAAGGCACAAACATTTCAACAATCTATACGCCAGCAGGTTTTTTTTTCTTCTTCATATTCTTTCTTTTTTCTTTTGTCGTTTACTCTCTTCTTTCCCCCTTATCCTCGCCCCCTAAAAAAAACAACATCTTATTGACCACAGCCAATCCGCGCGTCTCTTTGTTATTATTTCACCTTTTTAGAACGATAGGGTCGTAAGTCCAGTTTTGCAACGAGAGTAAGGTAAATATATTAATACAAAAAAAGCGCGTTCTTTCTTCCTGTCTTGTATCGTAGCTTGCCGACCCCGATTCAAGCCGGCATTTTGTCGACAAGCAGAGGCGTGCATGTCATAAGCAAGCTCGCAATGGTGATATATTATACAAAAGTGCTGCTCTGACACCACGCATACCCTTAAAGGCACAAATATCAACTAGATCTATAACTTAACGGGATCAATAACCACATCATTTTTGCAAGGTCATAATTCGCCTATCCACATAAGGACTAACATTTTCAAACAATCTTCGATAACATAACAAATACTAGATCTAATTGTTGTTCCGAGGGGCAACGGTAATTTAAGCATAAAGCAGAAGTACGTATCACTATCATTAATTAAGCAACAACGGATGTTTGCTTGCACGTGAACATTGTATGGGGTATATTACAACGGTCTCGGACGAGCCCAATTTGAGAAATAAACAGTTGTAGTTGTTGTCGTTTGGTGTTGTACTACTATTTATGTTCTATGGAGGAAAAAAAAGGAGACAAATGAAAATAAAAGGCAGACCAAAGAATAACTTTATAAGAGAACTAGAACAAACGGGGGGACGGGAAAAGACGAAGCTACTACGTGAGTGTGTGTTTTTTGTTTTTTTTGTTTTTTTTGCTGTTGTTTTTTTTTTTGTTGGTCTAAACAAACAAAAAATGTTTTAACAGCATCCGAGTTGAAAATGAGAGGCCAACCAGGATTGCCAACCTCTGTTTCAGATCTTGCATCTAGAGAAGATGAATCGTGAAAATACAAAATATTCTATATTATGAGTTGAAGAATTTCCTTTAAATAAAAGTCCCAAACCTGAGAACTCCTATAATGGCAATAGACTGATCACTGTTCATAGCAATTAATACTAAACGGAATGCTTTACTTTCAACAAAATCATAAGCTTCGCCTGCAGAAACATCCCCCTCCCCCTTGGAAAAAAACAGGAGTGTCTTACTGTTGTCAGCATCCTTGTCTGAGAGCTTCTTGCTGGTGTCGAAAATATACAGGAGGTTGATGGCCGCCGTGATCAGCAGAACGACCAATAGCCCAGCCTGGGGATAAAACAGAGAAAGGTAAAATATCCATGCTGGGTATAAGTGTTCTACAATAAAATCGTCGCCGTCTTTCATCATTGTCGAAAGTCAAAATACAAGGTTTTCAGGGGAAGCAAACAACTGTCTTATTTTGCACACGATACAATCTTGATACAAAATCTTGAATTCATCTAAACCAGTTACTGTTTTTTAAAGACGAATGACACTTTGACCAATCGATGTGCCCCATCAAACTCTACAACATACTTGATTTTCAAGCTTTCCAAATTTTGACAAACATGTACTGTAATGTTGAATGACGGTGACGAAACATTCTAAAAAATATGCTGTTTGGTTTGGTTTTCATTTAGTAAGAGCTTTACGGCACTTACAATACAGGTATGTCAATATGTGCCGAAGATGAGAGGTGTTACTTGGGAGTACAATACAATAAAATTAATGAGGAAAGGTAAGGACGACAAATATTTGATTGGAAAAAAAAGGAGCGAGCATCATCAGAGCACATACCCGCTAAACCACCCGCCAAATCTGGCTTCTGTTTGACTTTGACTTCAGTTTTACGTTTCAGTAACGATAAGCACATCAACACAATAATGGTAATTTAGCGAAAGGGGGGGGGGGGTAAGACAGGTTGAGAGTAGCAACAAAAGGACAGCAATAAGAAGGACCTACAAATAGCGCCCTCCAACCGCCCTAGAGTTTGAATGACGAGAAGTTTGTCGACAACCTTTAACAAACAAACAAACTAACACATAGAGCTAGCAAACAAACGAAAGTTGCTTTGTGCATGCCAGTCTGCAAAATCTTCCAAACAAAGGGTTGCTAAGACAGCCAAAACATGCAGATTAAATTCCTAATTCCTCACTCACGCAATGACCCAGC